AGTGTTTTGACTTGGATATAAAAAAAACAAATTTACTTAAAAGATCAAATCAATTTACTTAATATATAAATTTTGTTTCAATAGGCTAATGCCCGAAAATAAGCTATTCGTTTAGCTTATTTTCGAAAATGTATTACAAAACTAACTAGTATAGCTAGAAAATATTTTTTTTTTGTAAAAATATAAAAAAAATTAAAAAATTTTTTAGCCATCTTTGCTAATAAAACTTTATAATTCTGGCCAAGCTTATTATAGTTCTGGCCAGAATTACGAAACAAAATTTTTTAAATATTTTAATTTAGATTCTAAAAAATATTCTAAAAGGATTGACCAATCAGAGAACATAAATTTTATACATTTATATAAATAAAATTTTTGCGACTGATCGATCTTAAAAGATCAAAAACTTTAAACTACATACGAATGGTTGCTGTAGCATTACCTGAGAGTCTTCCAGAAGTCGATTCATTTCCGCATGTGGAAGCAGAAAACAATGCCTCTTTAAATAATGAAGACGCTAGACCTCTCGTGGGGATCATTTATCCTCCACCGGATATACGAAGTATCCTTTTACTACAGTTCAGTAAAATAGCTTGAATACGAATAGAAATGTAAAGATCAATTGGATCAAAATATAGTATAAGGGACCATTAATAAAATCGATTATTCAATTGATATAGAGTAGATTCCTTATATTATATTTGATCCGATCAAATAAAAACAATCTTTTTACTCTTATTTTATTTTATTTTTTTTTGGTAAAAAGATCTCTTTACTGTCCTTAACCTTGAAAATTATAGATATCGTTGATAAGACTGCCATATTTGTTGCAAGGAATGGCGTACAATTTGAAGAACGCATCCGCGAAAATGAAAAACATAACGCCAAATTCAGCTTTTTGAATCCCAACGATCCGTATCACGCTTACTATCAGTATAAAATCGCCGAGACCAAAGGTGGTAAAGGTATCTACGACTTATTCTTTACCTCCTTTTTGTTCCATATATTTATGATTCTCCCTCCGTTTATTAACTGCAAATTAATGTGTTGAAATGTTAGTTTCTAAAAAGGCTGAACCAAAAGAGCTTAAAGTAGAGATTAAGGAAGAAGGTTTTCTACCAAGAGCTCCACCAAAGGAACCACCACCTTTTGAATTTATGAATGATATGCCTTCTATATCAGCACAGGATCTGTAAGATCATATTGTTTTTGCGTGGATTTGTTTTTTCTATCGAATAGTGCTTTATAATAAGTTTTATATTTTTTAGTGACATTCTGAAGTTAACAGCTCAATTCGTAGCGCGTAATGGGCGAAAGTTCATGACAGCTTTGTCGCAGCGTGAACAACGCAATTATCAATTTGATTTTCTAAGACCGAATCATAGTTTATGTAATTATTTCACGAAATTGGTCGAACAGTATACTAAGGTGTTGGTTCCGCAAAAAAATTTGAATGAAAAATTAAAATCTAATGTCGATAATAAGTATCAGATATTGGAACGTGTGATGCAACGGGTTGAATATGCTGCATATCAAGAAGAAGAAAGAAAAAAGGCAGAAGAAAAAGAAGATCAAGAACGAAGTAAGAACATTTATAATTATTATATAGAATTTCAATATGACTATCATTTTACTAATTTGATTTGTTTAGTTGCATATGCATCAATTGATTGGCATGATTTTGTCATTGTGGAAACTGTCGAATTTACTGAAGCCGATGAAACAATTGATCTCCCTCCACCTATGAGTATCATTGAGTTGGAAAACATGACCCTTGCCCAAAAGAAGATGGCATCAGTTAATATTGTAGAAACCCATGAAGATAAAGCAGCCGAGATTGATATGGAGGTTTGTATTTTATACTATTGGATATACGTGGGTAATTGTTAAAAACAATTTTTTTTGCTTTAATAAGATGGATGAAGATGTTGACATGGAAGAAGAGGAGGATGACCAAGCAGCGGCGGATGATGATGAGCAGGATCAAGAATTGACACCTACTGTAACAGAAATTAAACCTCCAGATACGTCTGCCCCTATGAAAATTGTTAAAGATTATGTACCCAAACGTAATAAACACTCAACAAACTTAATACATATATAGTTATTGTTAGTATAATTAACTTTATATCCAATTAAATTTCTGTTAGCTTATGCGCCTAAAACTACCACCGAAAGACAAACGGTCATATGCCCAAGATGTAATCAAGCAGTTCCTGTGGACGAGATGGATAATCATGTCCGTATAGAATTATTAGATCCTAAATGGAAAGAACAAAAGATGGCAGCGGATGCAAAGAAGAAAGAATCAAATTTGTTACAAGAGGGTTCGTTTTATTGCACTCATTTCTTTATATTTCAAATTAAATGTATAACTGTTGTAACTTTGACGCATTATTCAATTATAGGAACGGATGTTGCTAAAATTCTCAAGACATTTTCCGGATATCGTTCCGATATTTTTGGAAATGAAGAAACTGAAATCGGTCGAAAGGTGGGTTTATTTTATTTTTAGTTGCAATGATCAGATACACAATTGGGTTGATTGCTCATTATGTCTTTATCAATATGATAGATTGGGGAAGAGGAAGAAAAGAAGAAACGAATTGAAAAGGAAAAGGTTGTGTGGGATGGTCACACTGCGTCTATAAATATGGCAACTCAACGAGCAGCGGCTGGTGTTTCAATCGATGAACAAATTGCGGCAATTCATCGAAGCAAAGGCTTGACAAGGTATATATAAAATCTTACGTGTTTTGGATTTGTACAAATTCATATAAAGTATGACCATGACGACACTATTTCTTGTACATTTGACTAGTGATAGCGACTCTAAGATTGGTCCAAGGATACCACAGCTACAGGATCAGCATTCACATCAGCATCAAATTCAACATATTCATCAACAAGGGATGCAACCACATATTTCCTCTACTCAACAACCTATATTCACTGGTTATCCGTCTCACACAACGCAAAATGTTTCAATACCTCCGGGACCTCTGCCAGTTGCGTATTCTGGCTATGTTGGGTCTTCTGCGCCATTTGCACACCAATTACCGGGTTTTATTGCACCAATCGCACCTCAAAATGTTAATCTGGCTTCCCAACAACCTTCTCAAGTCCGCCCACCTATCCCGCCAATTCCTCAACTTCGCCAATCTTTACCAGGTATGCAATTTAATCGACATCGTTTGTATTTTCTATTCTAATAATTTGTCTATCTTCATTAAACAGGTAGAACAATGGAAGACGAGGGGGACTTTACCATGCTATCAAAGCGACAAAAATTAGATAATGGATCCTCGATGGGAAGCCTCGTATCAGAAGAAGAATGGATAGCTTCTCATCAGGTATTAAATTACATCGAAAATTAATATTATCATCAATTTATTTATGGTATCTAATTATTTATATAATTTTATTCTTAATTTCATAGGGATTAATAAGTATACAGATTCAGTGCCCAATAATATCTGAGAAACCAGAATGGAATTGTCAAGGGCAAATTATTGTTCTAGATAATTTATCACTCACAACACTGGTTTCTGCTGTGAAGGATAAAATTTTTGCAAAATTGAATTTTCCAGCTGGAAAGCAAAAACTTACAATAGGCGGTGCCGTGATGAAAAATCAAGTATCATTAGCATACTATAATATGGAGGATGGAGGAATCATTGGATTGGCAATTAAGGATCGAGGGAAAAAATAATCTATCAAAGAATAGGTGCCTAAATATATATTTTAAAATTTCTTGAAAAACTTTTAAAGCAGATGTATTTTTTATCAATAACCTTTAATAAAGATAACGGTTTAAAAGAACCATAAGCCTATTGCACGTAAATGGGCTTAACCTATCTTCCCTACCAGTTACAGAACATGTTTTTATACAGGGGTTCTATTTTTGTTATAAATCAAAATAAGTTGTCACTAAATTTTATATACAGTATACAAAAAAAATCATTAATTTAAAAAAAACATAATTATTCTCTTAATTTATTTATATTTAATTTTTTATATATACAGTGCAGTTATTCTTAAATTAACTTATAAAATATATAATCTTAAAAAGTTTATAGAAAACCAAAATAGTTATAAATCAATTCTTTTTGTAAAATAATAAAAACAAATCTAAAGAACAAAGTTACAAAATTTATTTTTTTAGTTAATTAGAATTTAATAAAATTATATTCTTTTAAGTTAACCAATTTTATTAATAAATTTAAATTTTTGGCCATCTTAAATTTGGCTAAAATTATTTAGAATTAGTATAATTTTAATCAAAATTATTAAAAAAATTTTATCAAATGTTGGTTTATATTCTAATATCTATATTATCCAATAATATTGCTTTATTTTGTATAAAATTATACAATATATGGAAAATCTATAGCAAAAAAGGTGGTTTTAGGAAAATTATATAATTTAGAGAAAATTATAACCAAAATTGGTATATGATTATCATTTATATAATAGTATCAAAATAATTAAACAAAATTATATACCTTTTTATTAATAAATTTAATTATTAAAAATTGTTATAAAAATATCCATTTGTATACAAGTCACTCTCATTATAGTGAACCTTCGATATAGTGAAGATTGGCTTATAGTAAAGATTTTTTTAAAAACAAAACCAAAACTATTAATATTTTACTTAATATAATAAAGTTTTAATAATAAACTCTCAATATAAGATATAGTGAAGATTTTTTTAAAAAAATACAGTATATTTATAATAAATTTACTCTTGATATAGTGAAGATTTATATATAAAATAATTTTTAACCAATTATATCAATTTAAATATTCTTTTGATATAGTGAAGATTTTTAAATTTATATATAAACTTCATTATATTAAAATTTTTAATATAAAAATCTCTCGATATAATGAAGATTTTTTTATTTTAAATATAAACTTTACTATATTAAAAATTTTTGATATAGTAAATAACTTAATATAGTAAAGAAAATTCTTTAGCCCAACAACTTCACTATAACGAGAGTGACTTGTATTATTTATTCTATAAAATCTTGAATTTTGATTAGTTATTCTGAAGCCACCTTTTGCTATAAGCTTTTTCATATATCAAAATTTTGGCCATCTGGTTTAAAGATGCCTATACTATGCAAAAAAATTAATAAACTGTTTTACTAAAAATAAATATTTTAATTATATAGATTTTTGGTTTTACTAAATTATACCTAGTAGTATTCAATACTATAGTTGCTAGATCTCAAAAACATACTAACTAATATACATTAGAAATATTAAACAAAAATGTTTAGTATCCTAAACAACTTTACTTTAACTAAAATTTAAATCTATATTATTATAATAGTTTAGATTCTTTAACTCTAAATTTATTTTTATTTTTATTTTTTTATATTAATGATAATTCTAAATTTATTAGCAAAACTATTAAAACATATATAAAAGCTTTTTAATAAAAAAGAAATAAGTTGGTCAGGAAAACTTAAGACCCTATAACTGTGGTCATACCAATTCATTGGAACTAGAAGATTTTGGGGTATTTGTGTGATATATGAGTTATACGAATAGATCTTTGGATCACAGAAAGCCACAGGGCCGATATGGTAATAGGGCACTTACTTGGCAAGTCCTGAATAGAGAGGTAGCTCAGATCTTTGATGGTATTACGTAAAAGATTATCATCAGAAGAACCAGCAAAAACCAAATAGGACTGAAGTGTTCAGCAAAGTACTCTACTAATCAGGCTGCTGAAAAAGTACTGGAGAAAAAAAAACCTAACCATGGGGACCAGAAGCAGGTCATAGCCCTTCTAGGCCATCTGAATTGGTAGTTTGAGATAGTTGGAGATACCATAGATAGTCTGTAATATGTATATCAGAGTTTGAGTAAACTCTATAAGAGTAGAAGTAGGTTGTGTAGTGGTGATTAGGCTATAGTACCTAATATGAAAACTGGGCTACAATTGGTAGGCCTTGGTCTGTATATATCAATTGAAGACTATGTCAGCTGGATTGTGGGTACAGAAGGTTCTAGCAGGTTTGTCTTGAAGATAAAGGGTTTTTGGAGGTAAAGAGCCTGCCTTAAAATCCTAAATCAGTATCTGAAACTAAGGGCATCCAAAATGGATCCTCGCTCAGTTCACAGTGTAATCACATAGGCACAGAGAGTTTAAATAAATAACCTTTTAGTCGAGTTATAGGTATAACATCTAGTATAGAACTTAGTAATAAGCAGACTACTTAAATAGGCAACCAAAAGTTGCACGTATGACTAGTTGTACTCTTCAAATATGTATATGGTATATGAAAATCATATTATAAAAATTATAACTATAATTGACTAAAGGTATATGACAAAGAGGTTGTCTTAATATCAAAAAAAAAAAAAAGAAATAAGTTTTTAGTAACTTTTTTAAATTTTAAATTAAAATATCTTGATAATTACTAAATTAATAGACAAATTATAAAATATTTGAATAATAATCTCTGTTATATTAAGTGACACTTATGACTACTTTCAGCATAATTTTTTATATATGAATAACTATATTTATAATAATCATATTGTGATCAGGAATCTTTTTACGAAAGATTCCTGGTCTTCATATTGATTATTAGGAATTTCTTATATATTTATATATGTTTCTTTTTTTAAGTTTTTATACTTTATACAAACATTAATTTTTAAGTTGTTATATACAAAAAAAACTTTAATAAAAGCCAAAGTAAATAAGTATAGTTTATTATATGATAAATTATAA